GGAGGGGCCCAGTACAATGCAAGGGCAGAGCCTAACCCCCGCCCGGGGTCGCGGGACCGGGCTCCCCTTCCCAATTTCCAATTTTAAATCCTGAACGGCGAACTGAATGAGCAAACGGTATAGGACCTCCTCGAAAAAAATGTGGGGTTCGGTCGTGCGACGACCCGAAAAGTTTATCGGCCGACCTGAAAGTGGCCAAATCAATAAGACTAGCGCCCCGAAAAAAAATCGGGTCCACTTCGAACGACCCGAAAATGTGCGAACCGCCTCGGCCCCCTCGCAAAAACATCGTTCTCGAGGTCTTCGGGCCCACTCCGAAGAAACCGGAAATGGGCAAACCGCCTAGAACATCCTATCACAAACGGTTTCTCGGTGGTTCCGGGCCTCGTCCGAAGGAGCCGCCGATGGGCAGACCGTTCAGGACTTCCTGCACAAGAAACGGTTTCCCGGGTGAGCCATTGTCAACGGGAGCGCGCCCCGCGCGGGATCGGGGTTCGCACGGGTGCGCGGCTGCTCGCTCCTGTCCATGAGGCATGCATTGCCGCGCCCTTCCAGCATAGCGCTTGCTCTGCATTCGCGCGGCGCCGTACCTTTCAAATCGGAATAAACTTTCGGAGCGCCGATGTAGGAACCATCACAGAACGACCTGAAAGAACAGCGAGCCCCTTCCGAATCCCAAGCGGCCCTTGTTTCAGCGCCTCGGCTGTACCTGTTCCTCCTCCGATGCGCACCTCGATGGCCAGGGCGCCCTGGGAGACTGCCGCGGTCCCGGCGGCGACCCCGCCGAGGAGCAGTGCGCGCCGCGGCGGGGCCTCGCCGGCCGCCGGCGGGGGCGGCACGAACGAGGCCAGCCCGCCCGGGCCGCAGAGCAGGCGTGCGGTGCACCCGAGGGCGGCCTGAGGGGCAACGATAGGGGAGGACTGGCATAGGGGGGGAATGCATCGACCTGGAATCGGCGATACACCGCCGATTGATCGGCGACAGGCCCCAGATAGTGGATCCGCACCTTCCTGGGCAGGCTGGGGCCATCGGGCCCTGTCGGCGATCAATGGGCGATTGAAGGTCGATGCATCCTCCCCGATTCGGGTCGGGCGAAAGGGGGGATAGCAAAGGGGGGGTTTGAGAATTAGCTCACGTAGCTGATTTTCCCGGCGCCTCCCGGCGCCGGAGGCGCCCATGTATCGAGGAATGGGCCCCTCGGTGAGGCCGAAACCAGCTGCATGCAGCAAATTTCGTACCCCCCCCTTTCCCAATCCCCCCCTTTCGCCCGACCCGACCGATGCCTCTCCCCCCCTCTCGTTGCCCCTGGCGGCCACGCCGAGCAGGGCGCGCGGGGCGCCGCGGCGGCGCGGGGGCCCCATCGCCGCTCGAGCTCGGGGCGGGGCGCCAGCGTCGGGCGCTGCCGGGGGTGGCCGGGGACCCGGCGGGCGGGCCGCGCGGGGGGCTCCGGGGGCTGCTCGCACGTGCTCGCAGGTTCCCGTGGCGAAAGAAGAAACGAACACATATAAAGGGAAATTAGGACACACAAATAAATACACACAAATAAAAATAGTCCCCATATTTTCCCATATTTTCGGGGTTTTTGTCTTCCCCCCCAATTCCCATATTTTCCCATATTTTCCTGGGAATCGAGGATTAATTGTGTCTGTGTGTTCCCTCCTGAACATAAACATAGACTGTTGGAGCTCCGCGCGGATTTCTTGGATTTGCGCTGGGTCCCCCTCCTTGGCGCGCGGAGCGCGCCAGGGGCGGCGCCGGAGGCGCCGCCAGGGGGGGGCCCAGCGCGGGCGGATCCAAGAAATCCGCGCGGAGCGCCAACAGCTTATGCTTTATGATCTTTTCGTCTTCGAAGTGAGCAAGCATTCCTGCCTCGGGATGCGTGCCAGCAGCTGCGCCTCTCCGAGGGCGTTCCGGGGGTGCCCGGATCGTCCCGAACGGCCGCCAGAGGCCCGAGCTATGTGGCCCGGAAGCCAAACACATTCGGAGGATTGGCCCGGGCCTTCGCTGCCCCGGTGCGCAGCACGCAACCCGCAGCGTGTTGGCACGGATCTCGGCACGGCAGACTGCGAACGTCTGTCTGGCGCGGTGCGCTCGCCGAAACGGGGCCAACACGTTGAGTCAGCACGCAGCGTGTTATAGCCAACCCGAATTATAAGGATGCGCGGTAAGGGCGCAAGGGCCTTGGAGGCCCATGTTAACGTTTTTCGAACGAGGTTGGCCAACGAAAGTCGCCAAGGATGGGCCGAAGGGACAAGGATGCAAAAGTACCCTTGGGAAGGTTGCCCATCCTTGCTATGCTGGTTGATTGCAACATGGACATTTTGAACACGGTACGGCCGGACCTGGGGAAGAAACATATCCTTCAAGGGCACGAAACCCTCCGCGGGCCAAAACACCCCAGGACGCACAAGACCATCCAACAAACACGAAGGACATGAGGGGACCCTCCCCGAACCGACCTCGATCTTAGACCTCGGTCCGACCGTACATGTGGCGTTCCAAAACGGACGTATCAGGGCAACCAAGGCCCTGGCCCCACCCAGACCTCCAGCGCCTCGCGAAACTCGATGCAGAGGCTTTCCGCAGTTTGTGGCCTCTGGGGGCCCTCGCAGGCCCCAGCCCAGGAGAAGGAGCCAGCCCTAAGGAAAAGGTCTGGCCCTCCAGGGACCTCGCACGGAGGAAGTCAGGGCATCAGATGTCTAGGCAGGGTGCCCACAGCTTTGCGCGCCACGTTGGAGCCCCTAGGAGCCCTCTGGGCCTCGTGCGGGGGCGTTCTTGGAGAAACCTAGAAACACCGATACCGCTCCTCCCTGGACCTCTCCTGGGGACCGTTCTGATCAGAAGTTCGGGGCCAACTCAGCGGCGGCGACGAGGGCCTCTCCCAGGAGGCCCCAAGATGGGAAAATGAGGCGATGCTGGCGGTATGGGTACCATCCCTGAGATCCGACGCTGGGGGAAAATTCGAACATCGCGAGAAATCATGCCCAGAGCCCTGGGCCCCGTGTTTCCACGCTATTGTTCGAGCTCGATCGATATGTGGTCCCAGGGCCCGAGATGAAACGAAAACGCCAGGATCTCAGGGACTGAGCTCTGGAGGCCGCCTAGGCCTCCCCAGGGAAGCCTGGGGCACCCTGGGCCATAGTGCCACCTTCTTGGCAGCGCCCGGCAAGGGGGAGGGCGGGCGGAGCAGGGCGAATGTCTCGAGCCGAAGCGTCTGCGGAGTTACGGCAAGGAAGGCGACGTCTCCTCCTCCTCCTCCTCCTCCTCCTCCTCCTCCTCCTTCTCCTCCTCCTCCCTCTCCCCCTCCCCCTCCTCCTCCTCCTCCTCTCCTCCTCCTCCTCCTCCTCCTCCTCCTCCTCCTCCTCTCCTCCTCCTCCCTCCCCCCTCCCCTCCCCCTCCTCCTCCTCCTCCTCCTTCTCCTCCTCTTCCTCCTCCTCCTTCTTCTTTTCACAGACCTGAAAATGAACGTCTGAGGTGTCCACACATGTAACGTCAGCGGTAAGAGAGGCAAGGCAGAGACAGAGACAGAGAGAGAAGCAACGATGGCCATCCTCAGCCCTCATCGCAATACAAGTCGAGAGGGGAGTACAGATAGACAACATCAGTCTCCAGCCATGCATCCCCAAGAGGCATGGGGGCACAACTTGTCGAGACGGCTGAGGCGATCACAGCCTCAAGGTAGTAGTCAACCTGGCTGCTTTGGGGGTGCAAATGCAGGTACAGCGTTCAACACAAGGCACCTTGATTGGCACGCAGCTCGACGAGAGCGTCCGATATACGGCCGCCAAGGAATGCATATACCTGACCTCGGGGACTCTCTATACGCAGGGCTGATGAGCATGATGGGTCTGGGATCACAATGCTACTAGTGTCGCCAGCCCCGATGAGGCCGAGCACCATGCAAGCTTTATCGCTGCACGAAGGCACGCATTCTCAAGCTCTCAGCGCTTCCACTCGGAGGGCGACCTAGCAGAGATGCCCGAAGGCTCTCCTCCTCCTCCTCGTCCTCCTCCTCCTCGTCCTCCTGCTCCTCCTCCTCCTCCTCCTCCTCCTCCCTCTCTTCCCCCACCTCGGCCGAAACGCCTGCGGAGCGAGGCGGGGGATGACGTCGACGAGGGCAAGGCGTCGGCGGCGGCGGCGAAACGGCGTCGGGCGGAAAGTCGAGCTCGTCGAACACGAGCACACTCTGAGGAGACTCAGAGGCGTGCGACCCCCCGCGCGCGCCAGAGACGTCGGCATGGCAGATGGCCCCACAACGGGAGTCCCGAGTCAAGGGCAGATAAATGGGATACCCCCCCGAGATTGCGCGTCAGATCGACGAAGAGTTTAAGGCATTCACGAAGGTGCTCACGCAAGCCCGCCGCGCACAGACTCGGGCTCGACGCGCCCTCCTGGTCGAAGGGGCTGGGGCTACTCTCGCGAGTCGAGCTTCAGCCGCGAAGGCGATGGGATGGCATCCCATGGGTCCACGCAATACTACAACAGGCGAGCCCCGAGTGAACCCCTCCTCCTCCTCCTCCTCCTGCTCCTCCTCCTCCTCGAGCCCCCAATGAACCTCGCTGACGGCAGCCACAAGACAGGGTCCGAATTGGAGAGGGAGCGGCCACGATTCGCGCAACATTTCCTTGGAGATCTCTGGACGTACCTGGATCTGCCCAGGTGTACCAGGATTTACCCAGATTTGTCTGCATTTGCCTGGATTGATCTGGCTCGATCCCCACGAGTCGATGGGCGGAAAGTCGTCAAGCCCTTGGGGATCTCCTCCTCAGGACGGAGTAGGTCACGCGCCGGCCCAGGCGCGGGCCCCGGCGGCGGGCGCGGCGCGGCGACCAGCGGGAACGCCAGGAGACGGCGAGCAGCAGCAGGAGGAGGAGGAGGACGACGATGGTGGCGAACGGCCTGGAGTTCGAAGGGGATGAGGGCGAGGAGGAGGGAGAGGAGGGGGGGGAGGGCGAGGAGGGGGGGGAGGAGGGCGAGGAGAGAAGGATGGGCCCACAGACCTGCAGGTGCAGGTGCATGAAGCCGAGGTTCTCCACGAACTGCAGCAGCTCGCTCTCGCTGCCGCACAGGGACACCAGGGAGTCGATGCTGGCAAGGAAGCGCATGGATTGCACGCCCTTGCGGCGGAGCAGGATACATTCTACTCTTGCCTGCCCACTCCTCCCGCGCCTCCCCCAGCCCACCCTTCCTGCACCCTCTGATCCTCTGATCCTCCTCCTCCTCCTCCTCCTCCTCCTCCTCCTCATCCTCATCCTCATCCTCATCTTCATCCTCATCATCCCCCTCATCCTCCTCACCGTCATTATTATCATCATGAGCATCATCACCATCATCATCATCATCATCATCATCATCATCCTCTTCCTCATCATCCTCATCCTCATCCTCATCCTCATCTTCATCCTCATCATCCCCCTCATCCTCCTCACCGTCATTATTATCATCATGAGCATCATCACCATCATCATCATCATCAGCATCATCAACAACATCATAGTCGATGCCGGCACGGAAGCGCATGGATTGCACGCCCTTGCGGCGGAGCAGGACACATTCTACTCTTGCCTGCCCACTCCACCCGCGCCTCCCCCAGCCCACCCTTCCTGCATCCTCTGATCCTCCTCCTCCTCCTCCTCCTCATCATCATCATCATCATCATCATCCTCATCCTCATACTCATACTCATCCTAATCCTCCTCACCATCATCATTACCATCATCAGCATCATCAGCAGCATCATCATCACCATCATCGTAATCACCAGCATCAGCATCAGCATCAGCATCATCATCAGCAACATCCTCAACATCATCATCATCATCATCATCAGCAGCAGCATCATCATAATCATCATCATTGTAATCATCATCATCGTCGTCATCATCATCATAATCATCATCAGCATCATCATCGCCACAACCACCATCACCATTACCATCACCAGCATCATCATCATCATCAACATCATCATCATCACATCATCATCATCATCATCATCATCATCATCATCATCATCATCATCATCATCTCATCATTATCATCATCATCGTCGTCATCATCAGCAGCATCATCATCATACTCCTCTTCCTCCGCTTCCCCCTCCTCCTCCGCCTCCTCCTCTTCCTCCTCCTCCGCCTCCTCATCCTCATCCTCGTCTTCCTCATCGTCCTCGAAGTAGTCGTCGTCCTCCTCCTCCTCCTCCGCCTCTTCCTCATCCTCCTCCTCCTCCGCCTCCTTCTCCGCGATCTCCCCCGGTTACTTTTGCTCCCCCCTTGGACCGCCCCTCTATTATGGGTAGTGAACCTCCGCGGGCCCTGCGCGTGTTCGGGGGCCTCCTGCCCTTGCTCCTCCCCGGCTGCTCACCCGAATCCTGCCTGTGATCTTGCTCCTGCTGCTGCCTCGGTCTTCCTCCTCCTCGCTCCTTTTCCTCCTCGCTCCTTGGCGATCCTCCTCGCTCCTCGCTCCTCCTCCTTCTCCTCCACCTCCTCCTCCTCGTTCCACGGACACGCCCACCTCAGCGAGGGCGCTGCCCCTGCAGCCGCCGCGGACGGCGACGCCGTGCGTGAAGCTCCCGCCAGGGAGAGCCAGGCAGAGGCTGGTCGGGAAGAGCGGCCTGGGCAAGAGGACGAGGAGGCGGCGAGAGGCGAAGAGAAGGAGGAGGCGGCGGCGGCTGCTGCTGCAGCTCCGGGGGATGCCCAGCCCCAGGGGCGGCGGCAGGCCCGTCCAGGTGGGGCGCGCCGCTCGCGCCGGAAGCGGCGGCGTCCCCAGTTGATACCAAGCATGTGGCAGCCTCCCAGGGCTCAGTCGCCTTCGGCTTCGGCGTCGTCGACTTCAGCGAGGAGATGGCCCTTGCAAATCAGTTTCTCCTGCTACCTACTAAGGGGGGGGGTCCCTCCCCCGCCCGTTTGACCCGAGACCCCCCCCCGAGACCCCCCCCGAGACCCCCCCCCGAGACCCCCCCCCCGCATAGCCAATGGGCCATAGCCTATAGACCTTGCCTTTTTACCCTTAGCCTATAGCCCCGAGGGGGTCTCCAAGGGAGGGGGCGTGGCAAAAACAGGGGGGGGTCTGGCGAAAAGGGGGTCGCTGGTTTATCTCAGGCCCCTTTGGCAGGAGAAACTAACTTGCAAAGGAGCAGCCCCCAGAGAATGCATGCGAGGGCAGCGGGCCGGTCGGCGACACGGGTCCTGCAGGCCCAGCCGGAGGCGCGGCTGCCAGCCCCCAAAGCCAGGAGGGATGCGTCTCAGGGTACGCGGAGCTGCACTTTGGCCTCGACGACCAGGTCCTGGCCAGGCACGCGTGGAAGGCTAAAGGACACGCTCTCCTGCGCTGCCGCGTAGTGGAAGACCCCCAGATGCGCTTCGTGTTCTGCCTGCGGTGCGGCGGGGTCTTCGCGGGCCGCAAGCCCGGCAAGCTACTCAAGAACTTGTGCCGAGGGCGGGAGTCCAGAGCAGGCATAGAGCAGCTACGGCTGGTGCGCCTGCTGCGCTGGCCCCACTACGGCAAGGGGAGACAAGGTGGAGCGCTCGAGGGGCCCTTCGCCCTAGGGCCCGAGGAGCAGCGGCAGCTCGCAGGCGACCTCCAGCTGGAAGGGGACCTGCCTGCGGCAGCGAGCGGCGGGGGTCGCGCTGCTGCTGGCGACGAGCGCCTTCCCGCCGCGCCGGCGGATGCGCCAGGGCCCCAGGGCAGGCGGCCCGAGCCGAGGGCGGCGCGTCTCTTCCTGCTCCGCTGCTACGGGCTCACGGAGGACGACCTCGAGGAGGTCCGCCGTGTCGGCCGCGAGGCGGCCCGCACCCAGGCTGCCGACGCCTCCGACATAGTCTCCGAGGAGGCGGAGCTCGTGTGCTAGAGGCCTGCTGGGGCGGCCCCGGCGCCAGCCCCTTGCCAGTGCCCTCCAAGGCATATGGACGATGAAGGTCCAGCGAAAGCACCCAAACCCTTCGCAAGGAGAGGCGAAGGTGCTCTACGAGCTCTGGCCGCCTGCAACGCTACTTTAAGATGGGCGAGGCGGCGAGGGCCACCCCCATCGATCGTTTGACAGTGCGCAGCAGAACCAAAGGAAAAGAGGGAGACCGGCGACAGGCGACCGGCTGCCGGCGATCGACGACCGGCGACCGGCTGGCCGGCGACCAGCGTCCGGCGCCCGGCGACCGGCGGCCCCATGCGGGGGACCGGCTTCCTCCTCCTCCTCCTCCTTTCGGGTCGTCCGTCGGCCTGTCGGCCGCGCTTCGGCGCATGCATCCTTACCCTTACCCTCCTCCTCGTTCCTCCTCCCTTCCCCATCCTCCCCCTCCTCCTCCTCCTCCTCCTCCTCATCATCATAACCACCATCATCACAGCATCATCATCGCCACGATCAGCATCAACAACGACAACATCAGAGCACACAGCATCACCCTCATCAGCATCAGCAGCAGCATCCTCGTCGTCATCATCAGCAGTATCATCATCATCATCATCGTCATCATCATCATCATCATTATCATCATCATCATCATCATCATCATCATCATCATCATCATCATCATCATCATCATCAACATCATCAGCATCAGCATCAGCATCAGCATCAACATCACCACCACCAGCAGCATCACCATCATCACTATCACCGTCACCGTCACCACCACAACCATCATCATCATCATCATCATCATCATCATCATCATCAGACTCATCAGTGTCATCATCATCGTAGTCGTCATTATCATCAGCATTACTATCATCATGATCAGTAGCATCACAATCACATCATCACCATCATCATCATCATCAGCAGCATCAAACTTATCACCAGCATCATCATCCTCACAACCATCATCATCATCAGCAGCATCAGTAGCATCATCATCAGCAGCATCATCAGCATCAGCATCACAATTACCATCATAGTCATCACCATCGTCATCGTCATCACCAGCATCATCACCACCATCAGCATCGTCAAAGCATCAGCATTAGCACCATCATCAGCAACACCAGCCTTTGCATCAGCGTCAACATCAGCATCGACATCCTCATCACCATCATCATCGTAGTCACCACCATCATCAGCATTACTATCAGCATGACCAGTACCATCACCATCACCATCATCATCATCATCATCATCAGCATCAGCAGCATCACAATTACCACCAGCATCATCATCCTCACAACCATCATCATCATCAGCAGCAGCAGCATCAGTAGCATCAGCATCAGCATCAGCACAATCATCAGCATCGACATCCTCATCACCATCACCAGCACCATCACCATCACCACTACCACCATCATCACCATGATCAGCATCATCATTATCATCATCAGCAGCAGCATCACCATCATCACCATCATCATCATTCGAACCATAATATATCTATCTATCGCAGGTTATGACCAAGCAAGCTCCTCATCATCATCGTCAGCATTACCATCATCATCACCACCACTATCATCACCATCACCATCACCATCACAATCAGCATCATCAATGTCATCAGCATAAACACCAGCAATCATGTTCAGACGTTTCGTTCCCATCTGCTCGCGTGTCACTCAACATGTATATCCTAAACCTTCGGTGCTCGCGCTCTTGGTCTCAGATCGTACCCCTCGGGGGTGTATCTGCCTTACCTGTCATGTGTATTCAGCGTAGCCCCGAAAACAGGGGAAGATAGGATGCATAGAAGGGGGAGGGAGAAGGATGGAGCACGAGAGAGATTAGCAGGAGGGGGGCTAAGAGCAGAAAACACGTGGCAGAACCAGACGGGCAAGTCGGGCGGGTGGACCCTAACAGGCGGGTCGGGAAGGCGGACCCAAGCGGTCGGGCCGAGCAGGCGGGTTGCTGAAGTGAGTCCTGCATGACTCGCGAGAGGTCTCGAGCGATAGGTCGATTCCAAAGTAAATCGTGAGAAAGGCCAGAGCGAGAGCATGATTCCTGAGTGTCGAGGGCGCGGCGTCTGAGTAAATTGCGAGGAAGTCCTACGCGAGAGTGCGATTCCTGAATATACTGTGAGGAAATCCCGCACCAGAGCGCGATTTCGGAATGAACTATGAGGAAATACCAGGCGGGAGCCGCTGTTGTTGTAAACCGGAGGCCAACAGCACAATCTGAGCCCCAATGATTTACCTTGTAAAAGAACAGGGTACGAGCCCCAGGAGGAGCACTTCAATGGAAGAACCTAATGGGCACCAGGGGGGTCAACAATACTTACAGTCGAACTCTACAGTAAGGACGGGCGGTAAGGACGCATGGGCCTTGGACGCCGAAGTTGGCACTTTTTGGGCGGCGGACTGCCAACGCCCTGAAAGGCTGGCCAGTGAAAACCGCGAAGGACGGGCCGCAGAGGCAAAGACGCAATGGCACCCAAAAGGAGATCCGTGCGTCCTTACAATGAGTTTTGACTGTATCCCTTAGGAGGTGAGAGCTCCACCGCGCGCAGGAGTGCTGGAGGTCCAGGGAGCTCCCAGGCGAGCCTCGAGCATCGAGGAGCCGAGGAGGAGGAGGAGGAGGAGGAGGAGGAGGAGGAGGGAACATCATCTGCGCGCTCCACCGCGCGCGTGCGCGCCCTCATGCCCTCGTGCGCTCCCACGCGCACACCAGCCTCAACTGGGGGGGGCTGGGTCCCCGTCGTCCCCCCACCTGTGGCTGCCATGCGGCAGCAGGGGGGAGGATGAGGTCAACGACGAGTGGAGGGGAGGATGGCGAGGAGGGGACGGTGGGCGCTCGCAGCAGGGTAGCTGGGCTTGGAGTTCCGCACCCTGGGCGTCACGAAGTTCCTCTTCAGCTCGGGGAGGCCGCGCAGGATGCTGGAGTACAGCCTCACGGCAACTCCACCTCCTGATCCTCCTCGCCCTCACGGCTCCTACCTTTTGTAGAGAAACAGAAGTGGAGAAACCACAAGATACCGATACCACTGCTCCCCGGACCTCTCCCGGGATACGTTCTGACCAGAATATGAAAGCGAATCCAGCGGTGGCGACGACCTCCCAGGAGGCTCAAAAAGGGGGAAACGAGAAAAGGGTGGCGGTATGGGTACCTCTTTTTCCCCTGCAAGAGAGGGCATGACCATAAATTGTAAACGGTTCGCGAGGATGTCGTGGATCCGAGCTGGAGCCCCCCCTCCAAGCTGCACCTCCTCCTCCTCCTCCTCCTCCTCCTCCTCCTCCTCCTCCTCCTCCTATTCCTCCTCCTCCTCCTCCTCCGCCTCCTCCTCCTCCGCCCGCCCGCCTCCTCCTCCTCCTCCTCCTCCTCCTCCTCCTCCTCCTCCTCCTCCTCCTACTCAACGTCGCCCTCATGGCTCCTACCTGACCTAGAGGTAATAATAAAGGCATAAACATAAACTTGCGACGGCCCGCGCGGGTCTCTTGGCTGCGAGCTGGAGCCCCCCCTCCAAGCTCCACCTCCTCCACCTCCTCCTCCTCCTCCTCGCCATCATGGCTCCAACCTGATCTAGGAGTTTTTTTTTGTACAGAAAACAGCACATACTTGTGACGGTCTGCGCGGAATTCTTGGCTCCGAGCTGGAGCCCCCTCCCCCGGCGCGCGGAGCGCGCCCTGTGGGCGGCCAGGGGCGGGCCCAGGAGGCGCCGCCCAGGGGGGGTCCCTGCGCAGATCCAAGAAATCAGCGCGGACCGCCAGGATGGGACGCACAGGGACACACTAATACTGTATGTCCTCCTTGGAGGCGCGCGTCCGACCCGAACATATAATGTACCCATCTTGTAGTAGATCGTTTCCCGAGCAGTGCGGCCAGAAAGCGCCCGCCACGACGCACATACTGTAAGATTTCTCGGTGCGCGCGTCGCCGCAGGGGGGGGGGGGCGACGCACACATAGTATTAGTATGTTGGGGTGACGCCGACCAAGAATTTACATGTATGCCGTGTCTGTATTATTTGATTAGCTTGGGCAGCGCTTAACGGGACGGGGGCGATTAATCGGGGGGGGGAGAGAAAGGTGCACTTTTGGGGGCCCTGAACAAAAAAATGAAGGGCCCCTTTCGCGGGGCCCCCCAAGGGGCCCTTTTCCGCAGCCCTCCCCCCGATGTACCGCCCCCCTCATTACGCGACGCCCAATCACTGGGGAGACGTAAGACTCGGGCTTGGGGACTCGGGTTGGCCTGACAGACCATCATGAAAACGGCGCAACCCAATCTGAAATTTGACGCGAATTCCCGCCGCAAACATCCCACGAACACTGCACCCTCGAAATCCAAGACGCGATCGTCACAAAAATCGGCTAACCCGATGGGTCAAGGATGCAAGGGTAACCGTGGAGAGTAGCTCTTCCATACTATCGGTGTTGACTGCGCCGCCCCCCCGTTACGCGACGCCCAATCCTCCTCCTCCTCCTCCTCCTCCTCCTCCTCCACCTCCTCCTCCTCCTCCTCCGCCTCCGTCTCCGCCTCCGCCTCCTCCGCCTCCTCCTCCTCCTCCTCCTCGTCCTCCTCCTCCTCCGCCTCAGCATCCTCCTCCTTCTGCTCCTCCTGCTCCTCCTGCTCCTCCTCCTCCCCTCCCCCTCCCCCTCCTCCTCCTCCTCCTCCTCCTACTCCTCCTTCTCCTCCTCCTCCTCCTCCTCCCTCCTCCTCCGCCTCCGTCTCCGCCTCCGCCTCCTCCGCCTCCTCCTCCTCCTCCTCCTCCTCCTCCTCCCCTCCTCCTCCGCCTCAGCATCCTCCTCCTCCTCTCCTCCTGCTCCTCCTGCTCCTCCTGCTCCTCCTCCTCCCCTCCCCCTCCTCCTCCTCCTCCTCCTCCTCCTCCTCCTCCTCCTCCTCCCCTCCTCCTCTTCTCCTCCTCCTCCTCCTCCGCCTCCTCCTCCTCCGCCTCCTCCTCCTCCTCTCCTCCTCCTCCTCCTCCTCCTCCGCCTCCGCCTCCTGCTCTCCTCCTGCCCATGCTCCTCCTCCTCCTCCTCCTCCTCCTCCTCTCCTCCTCGCCTCCTCCTCTCCTCCTCCTCCTCCTCCTCCTCCTCCTCCTCCTCCTCCTCCTCCTCCTCCTCCTCCTCCTCCTCCTCCTCCTCCTCCTCCTCGTCCTCATGCGAGGCGGCCGCGTCCGAGGAGCCGACGCCCGACAAAGGCGAGCGGCGCGAGCGTGGGGCGGGCAGCCCAGGGAGGCAAACGGGGGCCCGCTCCCTCGCGCGTGCCCCGCTTGGCAGCGCAGGCCTCCGTCGTGGATCCTGCCTGGCTGCTAGAGCCTATCACCATCACGATCCGTCAGCGTGATTATCTTCACCATCACCATCATCACTATCAGCATCCCTGCCGGCATCGCCGTCATCGCCATCGCCATCACCATGATCGTACTCGCCAGCAACACCATCATCATGAGCAGCATCATCACCAGCATCGTCATCATAATAGATATTAACACTGGCAGCATAAGCACTAGCATCACCATCCTCAGCGACAACAGCATCACCACCACCACCATCATTGTCATACTCATCATCACCATCATCACCCTAATCACCACCACCATCACCACCAGCATCACCATCGCCAGTATCATCATCATCATCATCATCATCATCATCATCATCAGCAGCAGCAGCAGCATCATCATCATCATCAGCATCATCAGCATCATCAACAGCATCAGCATCACCACCGCCATCGTCATCGTGATCGTCGTTGTCAACAGCATCATTATGAACATGGCCATCATGATCATGATGATCATGAGCATGAGCATGACCATCATCATCGGCAGCATCATCATCAGCATCAGCATCATCATCCGCATCATCATCAGCATCACCATCAGCATCGCAATCATCAGCATCAGCATCATCATCATGATCATCAGCATCATCGCCGTATCATCATCATCAGCATCATCATCATCATCATCATCATCATCATCATCACGATCATCATCATCATCAACATCATGCTCATCATCACCATCATAAGCATCATCACCATCACCATCACCATCACCATCACCATCACCATCACCATCACCATCACCATCACCATCACCATCACCAACAATAGCAGCATCAACATCAGCATCAGCATCATCAGCATCAAACTGCGAATCATCATGCACACTAGTATCGTCCTCCTCATCCTCATCGGCAGCACCAGCAGCATCAGCATGATCATCAGCAGCAGCAGCAGCAGAAGCGTCGCCCTCATAAATCGCCTCCTCCGACTCATCCTCGTCCTCCCCATCCTCCTCCTCCTCCTCCTCCTCCTCCTCATCCTTGTTCTCCTCATACTCCTCCTCCTCTTCCTCTTCCGCCCCGTCCTCCTCCTCCCAAGAGACGGAGGAGGCGGAGAGGGAGAGAGAGAAGTGGAGGAGCGGTAGGAGTGGCTGGAACGGGACCAGGAGCAGGAGCGCACGTCGCCGCGAGGAACTCCGCTCGTTGGCTGCGTTCGGGCGCGACCAGCTCGCGGGAAAACCAGAGGGGCGGCGAAGAGCAACGGGTCCCACGCGAGATGGCATGGCGACCTTACGCAGCGGCTTACGCGGGCCACCAGCGCGGCCGCCACGTTGTAGACGAGTGCGCTGACGCGCGACCACACGCGGGACGCTTGCCCGTCGGTCGGAAGAAGTGGGTAGAAACATGAAGAAGGAAGGCGTTGGATTTGGATTGGGCTTCCGCCCGCCCCATGGAAAGGAGGGAAGAGGGAAACCCGCTCGACTCTTGAAGTAGGAAGGCGGCTAAAGTAGATTGGAACCTGGGGATCCAAAAATACCTACTTTCAACGACCGGCGTGTACGAGCCCATGTCGGTGGAGACGGCCCCGCTCCTCTACATCGCTCAAGTCGTGGTCAGGCCAGGCGGGGCGCCTGGACTTGATTTGAAAATCCGAAGCGGAGGACGCAAAGCGGCAGCAGCAGCAGCAGCACTGCCGCCTCTCTGGAGGGGATGCTGGCCGGTCGCCTCCCAGAGAGGAGGGGGGGGGATGCGGAGGAGGAGGAGGCGAGGCGCAGGATCGCTGGCCAAGCTTCCAAGCTCACGAGCGGGCGGACTGCTATCCGGCAGTCCTTCGGAGCTGAAGGACCTGTCTCACGAGCGGCGAGTATATCCACATCTGCGCCCTCGCGGTCTGGATGCCAGGGCGCGATCCCCCAGACATGCGGCCGCGCGGATACGCTCCACGCGGGACATCCGCGAAAAACGCCCAATATCCGCGGGGTCGCGGCCCAGGGGCCTGACCCGCGAGGCCGCGGATACGGACGTGTGTGTTGGCCCACGACTGCCGATGTGAGCATCGTCTAGCCGATCCCATCCACAACGGCGTGGCCTGGGCCCAACTGGCCGACTTACCCTCCTAAGATGGGGACGCATGCTGTCCCTCTCGGGATTCGAGGAGTCTATCCCCAGCTGGGGACGTGGGATGGTGGGGATCGGGATGGGGACGGGCATGGGGACACAGTCGGACCTAGGACAGAAGAACATCCTTCAAGAATAAAAGACCCTCCGCCGGCCAAGACGCACAGAACAGCCAAGGGCACCCTCCCCAGGATGCACACGAGCATCCAACAAACACAAAGAACACCTGGGGATCTGATACCTCGTTCCGACCGTGGGGATCGGTGAAACGGCCTTACCGACGGGGAGGCGTATTCTGCGCGGCCTGAAGCAGGCTGCGCACTCGAACGATCAGATGAAGAAAAACGGCATGAGCGTAAACTTTCAGGGCTCTGTGCGGTCTTCGCGCTGGACCACCCTCCCTGGCGCGCCAGGGGCGGCGCCGGTGGCGCGCCGGGGGGCCCTGGCGCGGATCCAAGAAATCCGCGCGGAGAGCCAACAGTTTATGTTTGTGGCGCTCTTACTTCTTCGAGGGGCCTCTCGCGTTTATGTTTACGGTGTTTCTTCATGTCCATGACGTAATTTCTTCTTCGAGGGGCGGGCCCGCAGCGGAGGGAAGCCCGCGGCCTCTCGCCGGCCACCTCTCTGGAGGGGAAGCTCGCGGAGAAACCCTGCCAGGCGTGCTGCGTGGCGGCCACGACCTCTGGCGATGTGCCCCCGCCCCCCCCTGCAGCGCCCCTCGTCGTCGTCGTCGTCGTCGTCGTCGTCCTCCTTCTCCTCCTCCTCCTTTTCCTCCTCCTCCTCCTCCTCCTTCTCCTCCCCCTCCTCTGTCCTCATCGCCTCCTCTTCAGGTCATCCTCTGGCTCCTCCTCCTCCTCCTCCTCCTCCTTCCCGTCCTCCTGCTCCTCCTGCTTCTCCTCCTGCTCCTTCTCCTCCTCCTCTTCCTCTTCCTCCTCTTTATTTCCCTTCTCGTCTCCATTGCCAACTGTCCTCCTACGCTCCTAAGCTTGCTTCTCGTGCGTCTCCTGCCCAGCCTCCGCCTACTCCTGCTTCCTTCTTGCCCTCATCTTCCTCTGTGGCCCCCTCGTCCCCTCACCTCATCCACCGTATCCACATCCACCTCCCACTCCTCATATGCCTTGCACTCACTTCGACCTCATGCTCACATTCCTTGCCCTGGTGTCCTGCAAAACCCCCAAAGGCGTCCTAACCCCAATTGACTTCCGCTGAAAAGCGTAAGCTTCATGCTCACTTCGAATGGGACCTAACATTGCAATGGCAGCTTACCGCTAGGAACTGCAAACCAATTAAATCAGTTTAAATAGTCTAAAAATACTATTCCCTCATTCTGTAAACGCTATGTTAGAATAGTCTAGAAATAATTTCAAAAAGTAGTATTAATTCACTTGCGACTATTATTTTTCAACGTGTGCAGATAATCGGCTACTGGGGCTTCTATTCGCTATTGGAGGTTTGCTGATGGGGGTTTGCTTCTAGGGCTTTGCTTATGCACCGCAAAGGCTACATACAAACCTATTCAGCGGTTGTCGATGCACAGTATCAGATATTGCGCTGCACAGACACAATCATAAACAAGGCTGGGACTAGGTAAGTTGGATGCATGATTTTATGTATCCCCCCAAGCAAGCAGGGCTAGATGCTTTTATGCCTGAATTGGGGCTGGATGTTTGGGGTGCATTGGTTGAGCGATATAGCCGCTTCACTTTTTAGCGTTACAAGGCGGCCAAAGACGCCCCGATGCGCCAAAAGAGACCACATGACTGCCCAATCCGTTTCCAAGAAGACCCTACTTCACATCAAAATGGCCCACCCGTTGCCCCAAACTCCCAAGGCTCTACCCAAGTGCAACACAGCGGGGCCCTAGAGAAGACCCAGGGATGGGGGAAGGGCGCAGTGGAAGTTCAAGCACGCGCATCCCAAAGACGAGTTGGGCGCCCCCCTGGGAATCTTGGATTACATTTGAAACGTTCCGAGGCCATGATGCAATAGGCAGTTGGGCAGCGCAAGGTCGGCGATCATGAAAAAAACTGGACTCACGTGAGTGAGTTCGATTGCCAATTGAGCAGGTTCGAGGTCGCGGTTGGAAGGTTTCTGGTGGCGATGTCTGCGCATGGTCGTTCCTTACATGGGCTTGCGCCAACCCGCCCACCCGAAAAAAACAGCTATCTTTCCCGACCGTGTGCGACATCTACTACTACAGGTGAATTTGGGTTGCACCTAGATGAGGGGAGCCTTAGGATGTAGTCGTAGTAGTAATAGTGATAACAATAATATTCCTAGTAGCGGTAGTCGTAGCAGTACTACTACTACTAGTAATAGTAGCTAGAATACTAACAGTAGGTACTAGTAGTAGGAGTAGTATCTGCAGTAGAATACACAGGCGTGTGGGCCTCTGGGCGTGCTACCTTACGGAGTTCAACTGGGAACCATTAAGTCTTAAGTGGTAGCTTAGGGGTGTGCTCTCATGGATCGCGCTGGCGTTCATACTTATTGTTGGCAGAGGTGCGACGGCCCATTGGGGCTGCCTTAGAGGGGAGGGCTCGTTGAAGCCCTCTTGATCTATGAGGCCCCCTGGAGTCTCTGGGGGGAACTGCATGGGTCTCGTAACCGTGCCACTGGGGCGTGTCTCGGCATCCGGGGTGCCGTGCGTGCCTCGAGTTTTACCTTTCCCTACCTTCAAACAGTGACCACCACTCTATCTCAACGAGTGGCTGGACACGCACTGCCCGTCGCCCTTGTCTCTGGCCGGGGCGACGGCCAAAATCCACGCGCATGGAACTCCTTCGAGCTCCGAGTGCTTAAAAGGGGCTAGCATGGCACGAGAGAAGTGCGGCGTCGTCCCTCGTCCTCCTTCCCACCCCCTCCATGCCAACTGCACTCCTCATCGTCGCCCTGTCACCCCTTTCTCGGCCAGGCCCCGAAAGACAGGCACGTCGTTGCGGGCCCACAGGGCTGCAGCAGTCACGAGCCTGCATCGCCCGCGAAGCTGCAGGCCCACGGAGCGCCCGCGAAGCTGCACGCCCACGAAGCCTACGTAGGCTTCATCTTGAGCGCGTTCGTGTAGCTCTCGGTCAATGCATTGTTCTTGATCTGGTCTGGCGTTATCTCCCACTCGCGCAGCATCGTCTGGATCTCACGCATCTTCTTCCTCATCTCCATCAGGTTGCGCAGAAGGCTCGGGTCGGTCACGTTCGTCATCAGCGAGTGCGTGATGAAGCACGCTCGGGCCTGACCCTTCACCTCATTGAATGTCTTGATCACGTCGTCGATCGGCGCTAGATCGAAATCCTTCGTCTTCTTCTGCGCAGCGTCAACCTCATTGTGGATGTCGTCGGCGATGCTCTTCCACGCGTGCACAGGCGCCGCCTGGAAGGCCTTGGGGAACTCTGCCTTGAGCTCGTCGGTGGTGGTGCATGTCTTCATGGCCTCCAGCCACTGCTCTGTGGACGGGTGCTCCTCGATCTCCTTGCGCAACTTCGCTGTCATGGAGCTGGCGGAGTCCAAGTGCGGCTGTCGTGCGAGGGCCCCCGCCTTCTCAGTCACGGCCTTGGCATCCTTGACTTTGGCTAGCCTTGTCCCTTTCACGATCGTGTCGTCATCGTCCCAGTACGGTGCCATGAAAGTCATGTCCTGCCAGTTTTTCTGAAGGCATCGGTGGGCCTCCCGCGGCGCCTTCTCCACGTCTGCGGTCTGCTGCTGGACGTCGTCCTCTAGCTTCTTCGCAAGTCCGACGAGCCTCGACGAAGAGCGGAGCAGCTCCGCCATGTGGGCGAACTTAATATGTCCCACCTTCTCGGCGCAGATCGCCATGGCGGTGGCGTGATGGGGCTCAGGAGAAGCTGAGGCCGGTAGGAGGCCAGGTCCATCAACTGCCTTGACCGCGGAATAGAGCTTGACCAGCAATGTCTCCAGCGACTCCCTGGCATCCTTCGGCAACTCCTTTTTCGCACAAGCGTTGACGGCGTCCTTCAACTTCACTGTGCTGTCGGCGTCGCCCTTCCAACCGTTCGCCGCCTCCTGCAAGATCTCGAACTTCGACGACAAGTCCATCTCGGCGAGCGCCTTCGACATGCCAAGCAACGCGCGTGCGAAACCTGTGTCCCCTGGAAACAACTTGGCCACGTTCTTCACGACGGATTGATACTCGGACAGGCGGAGGTCACGAGTGGCCTTGGCAAGGCCACATGTCGGCTTTCCGTCGGCGTCCACGTCGATCAGCACCTGAGCTCGCTTGGGGGTCTGGTCCTTAAGCTCCATCTTCGCGACGCTCGAAGCATCCCTGGGCAGGACGGACTCCCAGTACGGCACGTCGAGGCTGATATTGTCAAGCACCTTTGCCGCTTCTTGGGTCGGACCATCAGACAACGCCTTCATATCGACGATGCCTTTCTTGATGGCTGGGCCATGCTGGATCATGAGCTCGCTCGACTGAAACTTCGTCGTGATCCTCGTTTCCCAACTCTTGTCCTTCATGCAAGCCATCGCTGCGATGTTCATTGGCCTCTGGTCCCCTTGTGAAGGTACACGCAATGCTGAACTGACGCTCCCTATCTCTCACTCCCTTTCTCCCACCCACAGGGGGGAGGAAGGTGAGCCGAGGATGAGGTGCATCAATGCCAGCATGTGTGTACCCTCGACGCCTTCAGTGATGCACGCCTGCGCCTCAAACTCCCTCACTTCGGAAACCGTGTGGAAGTCCGTGTCCGTGGTGACGCTGGTGTCCATCACGCCCACAAGCACGCCAATCACCTTCAACGCCTCCACGTGGATGGTGGCACACGCATCGCCGATCTCAGCATCCTCCGTCATGGACCACATGCGCGTCGTGGTAGTGTGGAAGTCCTGCAGGATGAAATCTCCACCGTCGCCCATCTCGATTAGCTTCATGAAATTCTTTCCGAACATCGACTCCATGAACACTTGCGCAGTCTTGCCGTCGCCAGCACCAATGCCGATCAGCGTAGGACGAAGTGGGTCAAACTCGTTAATCAGCTTCGCTTTGTGAGCAGGCTCATACCACAGCACTGTTGCCTTGATCAAGCTCTCAATCTGCCCCAGGTTGGATTGAAACGGAACCATGAAGGACTCCCACAGATTCTGCACGTACCTGCGGTAAAGAGCAACCTTCATCTTGGTGGTCATCTTCGCCCCAGCCTTTTGCAACGGCTGCCAGTTGGCCAAGAACTCACTGTCCTTCATGCTCTATATCTTCTTGTAGCTCAGCTTGACCGCCATCTCTGCCAACTCCACCCTCCTGCTGAGGATCGCCTTCTGGTCGTCGGGCAGCTTCGGCAACTTCTCCTTGGACTGTCGCAGCTGCCTTCCAAGGGAGTCTCCGTCGAACACTTTCTCGAACTTGAGCTCGTGAACCCAGTACTGGTAGGTGCCCACTGCATGCGGATTGCCCTCATCCTCCTCCTCTAGCTTCTGCTTCTTATCAGACCTAGTTGCCAGAGACTCCAGATCTCGACTCCGCTTCGTTACGGTGGACGGCGTGTTGCATAGACCTCCCGACGCCACAGAGGCAGCCGCGCTGGGCGCTGCACCGCCGCCGCTGACGCCATCCAAATCGCTGCAAAGATCCTCCTCCACCTCGGTGTCGCCGTCGTCTCCGCAAGCCCCCTCGTCCTCGTAGATGCCCTTGTCGCCCGCGCCCTTGCCAGGAGCCCTCCTCGCAGAAGCCTTCGCTTTCAACTTGTCGACCTTGTCCAAGATCTCGGAGTGAGACATCACGTTGGTCGCCAAGGCATTCAATCGACAACTTGCGCTGTTTCCATATGTGTCCGTCCTCGTCTTCCGTCCGAGGCCGCCCAGTAAACGATGGCCGTGCCCTTCGAAGAGAGCGTACTGAGGTCCTTTGAATGGAGATTCTTTCACCAGGTGCCCGCTCTTCAAATAGAGCTTGATGACAGGGTACTTCCCCTCCAGCTCAGGACAGCGCTTCACCAGGTAGATCGGTTCGTTGCCAAATGTCTCTCCCAGCTCGAAGGGCTTCAGACCGAGGGTATTGGGAGCCTTGCCATACTCCTGCATCACCCCCTCCCCATCATTGCGATGTGCTTCACATAAAGTTCAGCTCCACGGTAGTCTTCGTGATACCCTTGAAGCGTGTTTGTATCCATCTCGCTGACCTTCTGATCGTTGTCGAAGTTGTCCAAAGCTGTCCTGACATCGTCGCGGTCGTCACGTCGCACCATGTCGATGAACTCTGGAAGTGGGGTCCCAAGCATGCAGTTCTGGCAGAACGCGTAGCACCTGACGCAGACCTTGCGGCCCTGCGTGAAATTCTGGAGGGAGCCGTCCTTGTCGTCCTTCATCGTGACATCCTTGAGGACAAACAAACCACACACTTGTCATGAAACGTCCACTATCCTCCCTGGCACTGTGACCTTATGTCGTGATTTTTGTTTCTGGCGATTTCGTAGGGACGGACCTAGGGCATTGGTCCTTGGGAGAGGCCCTCGGGGCAATTGGAATGGCGTCACGGGGGCCAAAACGGAGGGGGCCTCAACCAACACCGAATTCAGAAAAGTAAGAATGGCTCCTGGAGAGGGGATGCTTGGTCATGGCGTTTAACAGTCGGGTGGTGTCCGACGGGCGGCCCAAGCACACCTCGCAGTGCTTCGTCGTGCCAGGCGGCCCCCCACGAGACGACGAGACCCTCGAGATCACTGAGCCCGCAGCCGAAGGAGCTCTCTTCGAGGGGCCGTCGCGCTTACTACCGCGCATGGCTGATGCGAGCGTAAGCGCCAGAAACAAGAACGGACAGAGAAATAGCACCTGCATCGGCAGATACAACGTTGAAGCCTCGGGCCCGCAGACGGCGCTGGACGGAGCAGTCCGACATTGGGCCAGGGCGTGTCTCCCATGGCATTGCAAAGTCGTAGCGTAGCATGGCTAGCGTAGCAACCGTGTAGCATGTAGCATAGCACAGCATAGCATAGGTTTGTTTCGCTGTGGACGTGAGATAGCACAGCATGAGGCACCGTAGCATTTTACAGCATAGCCCAAGCTTGTACTTCAAAGTAACGCCTGAGCTCTTAGCGCATAGGTCGCTTAGCAATCCACATAAAACGTACATCACGTGCCACCGCGTACCGTAGCATATGCGAACGTAGCTCAGCACGGACGGTAACTTGATAGGCCTAGATATCGTAGCATTCGAAAGGTTTGCCCAGGCCCTAGCATAACAACGGGGTAGCATGCCTAGGTGGCCACGGCACTTCGGCACCCCAAGGGGGAGGCGACAGGCCCATCCAGGCCCCCACCCCACCCCTCAGGCTCCTCAGCACAGCGTGGGGCTCTGTGCCAAGGAGGCGGGGTTCCCCCTCCATAAGGAACGAGCGAGCCTCGCAGCACTTCAAGGAGGGCTGGGGCAACGAGACGTACACTCCCTACCATATTATATGGAGAACGCCGTTATGTACCCAAGACGTGTACCTTCAAGATATTGTTCGTCAACAACATCGCATTCGTAGTCCAACGATCTCATTCGCCATCATATCTTCATGTGCAATAGCCACCACCATCACATTCGCCATCACCATATTCATCGATGCGTTTGTCGGCACGCGTGGCACACAACCAATGGCGCTGCTTGGACTCTTGTGTTGATGTTGATGCTTGTGTAGTTGGTGACGTTTAGGTTTTGTCATGTGGCGGTGATGCTGCATGTGATGTTACTGGTGCTGATGTGCTGTGCCATAGCAGGTGGCATGGGGGCTCTATAAGGACACCCGCCACCACGACTGTGCCAATCAGCCGCACTCCGAACACGAGGAGAGGACCATGCACATATATGCCACTGGTTTGGAGCACAACGCACTACAGACGACGTGGTCCTGATGCAAAAGCGCGGGGAGACCGCGTTGTTATTTCATTGTTTCCACGCCACCACGCAGCCTTCGACGCAAGCAACTGACAAGCAACAGAACTCTCGTGACGAGCAGAGACGGGCTGCAAGCAACTCAAGGCCACAAACATGCACCAATCGCCTTTGCAGCGAGAAACCTGGAGCTCACTGGTGGCAGGAATCGCCTGCACAGACACCGTCGGCAGAGGAAGGAGCGGCACTCGAGCTCAAGGTTCTCCTTCGGAATCGTCGGTTGGCAGGGTGTCCAGCATATCCTGGGCAGACCTCTCGCCCAGGCGCGTAGTGGCACGACAAGCATCCAACGTGTTCTCTGCCATGTGCTTCATGGAATCCACCCGAGACTGGAATAAACGGAGCCTCATCCTCTGCCTGAAATTCACAAACTTGAGCACCTTGATCGGTTTCACTAACTTGAGGAACTTCGCCCTCAAGAACGGGCTGCACTTCTTGAGGAACTTCGGTTTCTTCTGTTTCGGCCACGGTGGCGGCTGCAACATGCCGCCCGAACTGGCGTGCACAACGTCGGTGGTGGCACGTGTGAAGGCGAATCAACCGCGCTCAAAGCTCGAAGCCACAAGGCTCAATGCATGCACCGTGTGTTTGACGCGGAGCGCCCGCCACGTCCATCTGGCAACGAAGTTACCAGAACGTGTTCTTCAGGACCGCAAGACACCCAAAGCTCCCAGACCCTGAAAGTCTCGAGAACCCCGTAGGCCCTGAGAGGCCCTGGCCCACGTGGAACCCTTGGGAAACCCTTGAGGCCATGAGAGCCCCAAGCCCGAACTCGCATGAAACACCCCGGAGTCCCCATAGGCCCTGAGAGGCCCTGGCCCACGTGGAACCATTGGGAAACCTTAAGGCCCTAGGAAGCCCAGGCCCTGGCCAACAGGGGCCTTCAGACAGCACAAACCAGAATCCCCCAAGAGGCCCTAGCTCACGTGGAACCACGTGGAAACAATTACTTACGGAAACCCCGTAGGCCCTGAGAGGCCCTGGCCCACGTGGAACCCTTGGGAAACCCTTGAGGCCATGAGAGGCCCAAGCCCGAACTCGCCTGAAAAACTCTGGAGCCCCCATAAGCCCTGAGAGGCCCTAAGGCCCTGAGAGGCCCAGGCCCTTGGCTAATTGGAACCTTCAGAAACCACAGAAGCTCTTTCACCGCCGAACCCCGCCCCCACCCCTCCCCCCCCCCCCCACCCCACCGTGAAACAACATATTCAGCACGTTCAAGAACGCATGGCATGGCACAGCATTGCGTAGCACCCGCACCGTGGCATACCACTGCAGCATAACATTCAAGCGCACATTCAATACATCGAAGTTCCAAGTAGGCGAATCATTGTGGCCCCGTAACAACGAGGTATTGCGTTGGACGACGTAGGTAAACATAAGTGAACATTCATTTAATAACGGTTTATGGACGCAGAGAAATACCTTTGCACAACGAAATCATACCATATTTCGCATGCGCGAGACCGTAGCACTTCAAAACAAGAAACGATAACTACCGACGCAGGATGACGCCAGCCTTTTGCGCAGTTGGCACGGAACAGTGCAACTTGGGCAGGGGCGCCGTCGCGTAGGCACAAAGTCACATTGGCAGAGCGCGTTCCATCAACTGGCGAAATCAAAAACCGTGGCTCTGCGCATTGGAAGGCCAGGGCTAAATCAGCATCGCGCAGCAATGCGTGGCATTGCAACGGCAGCGTACCACTTAGAACCCTGAACGCACGAAACAATTTTAAAACCCTCAAGCAATTATCCTTGCAATTTCCAACCGCTTTTTCAAAACAGCCCATACATATGCCCTTAACCGTATACGTACTATTACCCAAATGCGACGATTATTGTTTTTTTTTTTTTTTTTCCCCGCGCGGGCGCGCGAGTTACACGCGCTGCAGTGTTCAAATCGAGCTGCCCGCAGGGAGGGGAGTGGGGGTGTGGAGTAGGAGGTCGGGAGGGAGGTGGTGGAGGGAATAGGCCTGCGGCCTGTCGGAGGATGGCTACATAAAGCATAAAGGTCACCACCCCCCTCCAAAAGGCCTGCGGCCTGTTGGAGGGGGGTGGCCTTCTGGAGCACAAGCGCTGTTTGCTTAATTGACTTCCCGCTCACCAGGAGGTCACCTCCAGAGGGTGATGATGGTGCCATAAAATGAGTTGGTGCGTGCCCTGCCCCTACGCTGCGGCCCCGAATCCTACGCCTACGCTGCGGCCCCTAATCCTACACCCTACGCCCTGCACCTACGCTGATGCGCCTATTCCTACAACCTACTGCCACAACCTACGCCCGTCTCCTACATCCTAGGGCTACCTAAGCCCTAAGCCC